CTGGAGGCCAGTCAGGCCGAGGAGGCAGCTCTTGCCAATGCCGAAGTGTGCCAGGGGCTGGCGTGCAGCAGCCTGCTTGAGGCTGGCGTGGGAAACAGACTAATAATAGTCTGTTTTCGAAACCCTGGTTCGGTGCCTGAGTTTCAGGGCCGGTCGTTCTGATGAACGACCGAAAATGGCCCTTCGTTTCAGGCTAAAAAGGTTGTTGCCATTTTTAGTCTGAAACGACCAGGGATAGGCCCTGGACTTCAGGCATTTGGCCTAAACCGACAGGGGGCCTGTAAGCCCTGGATTTCAGGCTTTCGGCCTGAAGTTCAGGCTTTTGGCCTGAACGCTGTCGGGCCTGCAAAATGGCCGTCAGGCCTGCAAAATGGCCTGTGTGTGCACGCGCTGCATGTAACACCCCCCCCTCCTTATGAAGTCAAGCCGGGGCGAGGGCGAAGCCGTCGATCTGAGGGTGGAACCTGGACGCGGGCGCGACGTGGAGCCGAAGAAACCAGCTTGCCTTGCGTCTTGCATTCGTAGCGTGCAAGAACGTTTGGAGCTGTCGCTTGCAGTTCGGCACGGGTTAACCAGCGATCAGCTCGATGAGTGCAGTAAGCAAAATGCACCAGATACTCAGTTGGCTTGTTGTCGTAGCGTCGCTGGGAGATGATGTCGCCGACCTCTTGAAAACCATCCATAGAAGTTGGGTCTTGCGCCCGTCTCCCGGGAAAGTCGTCATGATCCGTTGGCGTGTAGAGAGCCAGTTTGGAGCAATGAAAGACTGGGTAGACAGGCAAGTGGTTAGGCACCTGAATCGTGAAGGAGGGTCCTTCGGGTGCATCCCCAGCGGGCTCTATGATCGGCCAAGGCCCCATCCATTTCGGGAGGAGCTTGCGAGAGACGCCTTGTTCAAGGCTGAATTCCGCTGCTCAAACCCAGACGAGGTCCCCGGCGCGGAATGGACAAGGAAGACGTTGGCGATTTGCCTGTTGGCTCATGCGCTGCTGCGTCTTAGCCATCTGGTCGCGTGCCTTGACAAGAAGCTCTTGCATCCGACGCAAGAAGAAAAGATGGTCGTCGCTCTCGGCCGTGGGTGGAGTAATAGTGTCCAACGGTGAAGTGACCGGCGAGCCATGTTCGAACTCGAAGGGTGATAACCCAATAGCCAGGTGGATGGAAGAGTTGTAGGCCAAATCAACATCCGGCAGTCGCTCAACCCAGTCTTTCTGGTCGGGGCGGATGAGAGTGCGAAGGAGAACCTGTGCGGTCTGATGCGCCCTCTCCGTTTGGCCATCGGTCTGAGGTTGGCGAACTGAACTGGGCTTGAGAGATGAGCCCCATCGCTTGATGAGCGCCAACCAAAAATCGGACATGAACTGAGTGTCGCGGTCGCAGACGATCTCCTTGGGGTAACCCTTGGTGCGAATCCAACCGACGTACAGAACCTCGACCAACTCCGGTGCCTTGGCATGATAGCGATAAGGCAGAAACATGGCGAACTTGGTGAGTCGGTCGACCACCGTGAGAATCCCATTCACTCCGGTCTTGTGCTTGGGGAACGGGCCGGTAATGTCCATGGCAATCGCTTCCCTTCGCCGCAACGGAACTGGCAATGGTCGTAATTCGCCGTACGGACGATGGTTGCAGGATTTGCAGCGTCGGCAAACCTCGCATGACTCGCAATAGTGCGTGACGTCGCCGAGAAGGCCGGGCCACCAAAATCGCTGGCAAAGTCGGCCAATCGTGCGATTGACTCCAAAATGTTTAGTGGCGGGAGCGTCGTGGAACTCGCCAAGAAGCCGTGTACGCAAGTGAGGGTCACTCGGTACGCAAAGAAGGTCCTTCCCCCGCGTGTTGACAAGCAAGTACCCCTCTTGGATCCAATAGTGAGAAGGAGCCGGATTAGGAGAGGAGCAATTCGTGTACTTGTCGCGAAAATCGGGGTCGGCTTGGTAGCCGCGGATGAAGCTGTTCCGCACGTCGTCGTCAATCTCGAAGGTCGAGTAGACTGCGGTACAATGATCCGGACGCCGTGAGAGAGCATCCGCAAAACGGTTCGACTTCCCGAGAATGTGATCGGGAAAGAAGTCGAACTGGTCAATGAAAGCCATCCATCGAGCGATGGTGTTGTTGACGGTGTCTTGGGTCTTGTAAAAGACCAACGGATTGTTGTCCGTCACCCAGCGAAATTGGCATCGACCAAGGAGGAAGTGCCGCCACCGCTTGAGCGCGTGGACGAAGGCGAGGAGCTCCTTCTTGCGTGCATCGTGAATGGAATGCACGAGTGACACTTTCTTGCTGAAGTACTCGACCGGGTGCCAGTCCACACCATCATGTTGCTCGAGGACTGCACCAATGTCATAGCCTGACGCATCCGTAGTGACACGTGTAGGCGCGAGCGGGTCGTATATCCGCAAGATCTCCGCAGACAATAGCGTGGCTTTGAGAGCGAGGAATGATCCCCGCGCCTCCTCTCCAAAGTCAAATGGCCGACCCTCGCACTGAAGCTTGTTCAAGTGGGCCGTGATCTTGGAGTAGCCTTTGATGAATCGCTGATAGTAGCCCGTAAGACCGAGGAACGAGAGGACATCCGTGATGTTCCGAGGCTCCGACCACTCTTGGACGGCTTGAATCTTGTCCGATAGAGGACTGATGCCCTCCGGTGTGACAAAATGGCCCAAGTATTGCTCTTGCCGGACAAATTCGCACTTGTCGCGGTTGGCCTTGTACTTGGCACGACCGAGTGTCTCGAACACTCGTCGAAGATGTCCAAGATAATCCTCCAATGTCCGGCTGTAGACGAGAATATCGTCTAAGTAAACCAGCACGAACCGGTCCAACATTGCACGGAACTAATTGGTCATCGCCGCCTGGAATGTCGTCGGGGCGTTGGTGAGGCCAAAAGGCATGACCACCCACTCAAAATGCCCATACCGCGTCTTGAATGCGGTTTTGTAGCGATCATTCGGTTGAATCGAGATTTGATGATATCTTGATTTCAAATCGAGCTTGGAAAAATACTTCGCACCGCCCAACCGCTCGAGAAGATTGTCGATGCGAGGAATAGGCCCCGCATTCTTGATGGTTTGCGCGTTGAGCTTGCGGTAGTCGATGCACCTCGATGTAACGGTCGAGAAGTTGCTGTGTCTTACCATCCGCCAACTTGATCGCCGTTAGGTTTGCCTTTCTCCGAACTTGTGCGCCAAGACCAGCTCTTTGCATAAAAGACTGGCTCATCAAGTTGCGAGTCGCGCCGCTATCCAACAGAGCGTTGCAGGACGCCTGTCCAACCTGGATGCGGACATACATGAGCGGTGCGTTGTTGTTATCGTACCGCTGTGTGTGAAACTCGTGGGCCACCTTGGTAGTATATGTGAGGATGTCCCCCACCGCGACTTCGTCATCCGTCGACGAAGTTGGTGGTGCATAGAAGGAAAGGTAAGTGTGGAGATGAGCGCTAAGTGCTGCGCATTGCGGTCCCGGCAAACAGCCTGTGGTCGGGAGAGGAAGCCATGCAAAGTCCTCAGACGTGAGCGGGTCCAATGCCTCTACATTGAACTCGCGCGCCGAATCCCGTGACGAACCACTTGAAGACGATCTGTCGCTGTTGCCAGATGGAGAAGAAACCGCACACACTCCTTGTCCTTGAGCTTGAGAACCCAGCGTTGGAACGAGCCGGGCAGCATAGTCCTCGAAAGAAAGTAGGAGCGGAGGACTGTTGACTTCCGCGTGCGCCTCGGAATGAAGGCTGGTCACTCGCGAAGAAACCAGTTTCGAAGGCGTCGAAAGTGTCGTCGCATCACTCTCGGCGGTGCTCAGTTTCCCTGACGACCCTTGCCCTTCAGTGGGCAAACCGGCGTCAGATGAAGATCACTGTTGTACCACAGGCCATAATGGAATCTCTCGCGCGCCTTGTAGGCGGACTCGGAGATGCCATACGGGGTCCATGGGCCTGTCTGAGCTGCTGCACCGGGCCCGAGGCTAGAAACGATGTGTGTCTTCGGCTTGCCGCGACCTCGACCTCTGGCGGGGCGGCCACCTTCCCGGGCGGCTGCAAATCTGTCCCCTTTACTGGCAGATGCAACCTCGCTGGATTGGTCTAACGGCGCTGCTGCCGCGACCATGACCACTCGTGGCCGATGCTGGTACCCGCTCGGGCCTGACGCAGATGAACGAAGGTTCTTGGCCTCCTTGTTCGTAACGATGATCTGCGCAGCCTTGTCGAATAATTCCGCCGTCGTCGTCAAGGTGTCCTCGACATGCGTCAGGGCATTGCTCAATGTCGGACATGACCTTGAGATGAAATAGTGGCGGATGACCTTGAAGCACATCTGGATGTCTGGGACTGATGTCAAGCGTTGGTACTCGGCGATCCAGTCCATACTCGGCAACGAGCCTTGCTCGAAGACCATAAGCTTGTTCATGGCTTTGATCTCTAGCGGCTCCACTTGGAACCGCTTGTGCCACGCCGCCTTCAGATCATCCCAGCTGATCATGGTGTGCAAGTCCGCTGCTACCACTCCGTACTTGGATAACAAGTTGTCCAACCACGCCTGACACGCGCCCCCTGAGCGAGAGTACAAGTAAGCGTGGTGCTTGTTTTCCTTGACGTTGTGGAGTTGCAGCGTGAGCTCGAACTTGCGAAACCATGGAATTGGATTTGTCTTGATTGAGTCGTGGAAGATCTCCTGCCCATCGAACTTAGGAGCTGTCTCGCGCGGCTCCGGACTCGAGGTAGTGGCGGTAGTGCAGATCCGCTGCTGCAAATTGTTGCGTCACGGTCTGCTGTAACTGTGCGCCATCCTGGAGGGAGCCAACGCGCATCTCCAATGCGGTGAGGCGGTCGGCAGTGTTGGAAGAGCCTGCATCGGCGGCGGCGACTGGTCGCTGCTCCACCCGCTGAAGGCGGTCTTGGAGATGAGCTACCGAGTTGTCGAGAGCAAGGATCTCCGCCTGCTGTGTAATGCAGGTTGCCAGGAGATCCGTGAGATGCAAGAGGAGGAGCGCTATCTTGTTTGGGCTATCCTCCAACTTGCTATTCTCGGCCTCGCTTCGCCATTCTGCTGCCATGGTAAGTAATGCCCGCTCTCCGGTGAATATCTTCTCACGACGCTGTGTTCTTTCTTCATCGGCAACCCTTGCTGCTGGCGCTGTTGTTCCACGGCCAGTAGACGTGCCTGCTCGGCATCCTCTGCCCTTTTCTTGGCTGCTGCGGCAGCGTCATCTGCCCGCTTCTTTGTCTCGGTACTCCAGGCTAACATGCGGGCCTGATAGGCCTCATCTGTTTCCCCGGCCTTCTGGTCCATGACTGATGTCTGTGAACGCAACAGCATAGACCAGACCGGTGCCTGCTGATGTGGTATCCCTTGCTACTGACGTGGCAATGCTGACGTGTCCTGCTCATGTGTCCTGCTGACGTGGCCTGCTGACATGGTCTGCTGACGTACTTACATAGCCTGCTGATGTGTCCTGCTGACGTGGTCTGCTGACGTGGTCTGCTGACGTGGCAACTTACCAATGCYGCCGCAGGGGGTACCCGGATACAAACAGAAACGACAAGGCGAGAGATGGCAACAACATAGGTGGGGAGGGGTGGGTGGGATAATCGCCCAACTCACACTTAGATAAGGAGCCACTAATCAAACGAGAAAAGTTTGAACTTTGCAAATTTTTTTCTTCGAGAAAACTAAAAAAAAAAAAAATCTCGATTTTTGTAAGTTCAGTAGGTCTCCCAATCTCCCTTGAAGTACGAAATGATCTCTGAAAGCGAAAAAAATTTCGACTTTAGATTGCAACCGATTTATAGAACCAATTGACAGAATCCAAGAACTGCGAAAAAAAGTCCGAACAGAAATGACAAATATTCGGATTTATTCCGATGGGAATATTCGCAGTTTGAAAAAAAATAATACGTGCAGGAGGTATTTCCCGTACCGTTTTCAGAAAAACGAATTTCAGA